GGGCCTGTTCAATGGGCGGGGCGGGGGCGATGAGCCAGCTGACAATGTGGTGGTGGACAGGTAGACAGGACCTAAAGGAACTCACAGTGCTGCCCGGATTGATGTCTGGGCGCTCCAAAGCGATGGTGATGCAGTTGAGGAAAATGAAGACCAACACTACATGGTCAAACATCTTATGGGCAATGACCTTCTGGCAGATGACCCGGAACCTGAGGAAGAGGGCGGGCGGTGAGGTAGGTTGAAGTTGGGGAGACACACACCACGGGGTGCAAAGAACCCTTGCCACCAGGTGCCGGCATCAGCTGTCCTCCAGGCCCGCACTCACCGGTTCTGCGGTGAGAAGACGTAGAGCGCCCAGGGCTCCCTGCGGCGGCACCAATCCGGCTTGTGGCGGTCCAGCACCACACGCAGGCGGAAACAGCAGCTCTGGGATGGGGACAAGGCCAGAGAGCCCGCCACTTACCTCTGACCCCGGCCCTCCCCTCAGCCCTGGGGGTCTTTCAGTTGCCCTGGCCTCACCTTCTCCAGGCAAGCATCAGTAACGCTTTTTTAGTATTGCTGGAGTCAGCTGGCACCCTCTCTTTTGGGCGAGGGCCCCTGCCCCCAAAAGAAAGTGAAATCGTTCTGCGACCCTGTCTACAATTGACTCCAAGGTAGAGGCCTCGACCCAGAAGAAGAGGGACCCATTCCGGGGTTGTACACACTCTGGGGCGCCAGTGAGGTTAGCTAAAGTGGTCATCACTGGAAGCACATCCATTCGGTGCTGTTATAGTCTATATGCTAGAACGTAGAGGTCAAGCGGGGTTCATGTCCACCACGGTGAGCCCTGCTGCTTCTCGCTTTCTGCAAAGCTCCTCTAGAGCCCCAAGCTCAGTCCCAGACAGGAGGGGTGGTCAGTGGTCAGGGTGTGGAGCCCCCACTTACATCTTCCATGTCATCTTCGAACTCAGCTGGATCCTCCTTGTGGCTGTCGATGCGCAGGAAGAATTCACTGGGCAGGGCCACCGTCTGCCCGTTGCAGTTCTGGAACTTGGTGGGCAAAAGGGCCACCGGCCTCGGGGGTGGAAGGTCCAGTGTGCTGCGGTGGTCCAGAGACTCGGCACGCCTCAGCGAAGCAGCACGGGACCCCGGGGAGGCCCCCGCTCCCAGCTTGCTGTCCTCGGCCTCGTCGTCTGTGCTGCCCTTGCCCTCGCCCGACAGCAGCGACTCTCGCTCTCCACACTGGCTCCGGCGCTTCAGGCTGGGTGCCCGTCCCAGGCTGTTCCAGCTTGAACGGCGGCTGCTCCAGGCACCATTGGGGCCCCAGTGGGCACTGGGTGAGCTGCGAAGACTGGACTGGAAAGGAAGATGGAATGAGCTGGGGCCTCTACCCAGGTGCGCCCCCAAAACCACCCAGGTGCCCAGGAACCAAAGGGACTTCTGACTGGAACCATCACTATTGACACTGTTGTCGTTAAGTGCCATCTGGTCATCTTCAACTCTTGCTGACCCCACAGACACATGAATGAAACATGCTCATGGTCTCCACTGTGCTTCATGCATTACAGTCACCGGGTCACTCCAGCTTATTGAGTTCTTCCTCTACTTTTCCAACTAAGATCCATTTCTCCAGGGACTGATCCTCCCCATAAGTGTGTGACAGGAAATCTCACCCTTCTCCTCTAAGGAGCGCTCTGGCTACACTCCTTCTGAGCCCATCTGTTTGTTCTTTTGGCAGCCTGTGGTTTATTTCACATTCACTAACAGAGTCCTGGTGGTGCTGGGATTAACCACCTCACTGCTAACCGAAAGGTCAGGAGTTCAAACTCCACGAGAAAGACAGGACAGTCTGCCGCTCCTGTAAAGATTTCATCTTGGATACCTTGTGGGGCAGTGTGTTCTACAGGGTCCCTATGAATCAGGACTGACTCAGTGACGCCCAATCACAACAGGGTGTGCCTAACTGCGCGTAGGATCATCTCCCCTACTGGGGAGCTGCCACCAATATTGCGGGTAGCACTGGTGGTTCAGAGGCAGAATCCTTGTTTTCTATGAAGAAGACTCCAGTTCAACTCCGAGTCAAGACACCTCGCAAACAGCCACTACTCGTCTGTCAGTGAGGTGTACATGTTTTAAGGATAATAAACAGGTGTCAGTGGCATGTCCAGATTTAAGCCTAGGAAGAATAAACTAAGACTAGGAAGAAAGGTCTGGTGATCTAGTTCCAAACATCAGCCAATGAAATAGTTCCTTGGAATACAGACATAAAATCTCAAGCCACTCCAGGGATGGTGTACAGGGACTGCTGACTTGGCAACAGTTACCAACAACCATGATCACAAGTTCAACTCTGCAAGTCAGACTCCAAGATTACTCCACTGAAGACACAGCTGCTAAGTGTCAGAGGACGGGCCAAGGTCCTTCTAGAAGAACAGCACCTGTGGTGAGCAGTGAATGTTTGCTCCTGTCCAAACATCTGACCTCTATCTTCTGGATGTATCAATCCAAAAGTCCAGCTCAAACTGACCCTTGGGTGAGCAGCTGAGTGCTCTAACTACTGCACCACCAGGATGCCTTTAAGAAAACTCAAAGCCTCAGTCATTGACGTTGTCCCTACGTCAGGTTTCCAAGGCTGTAAATCTTTTTCCCTCAGAGCAGCTGGTGAATTAGAACTGCCAACGTTTCTGCTAGCAACCCAGCACAGCTTAGTGCCCTTGAAACCAAAAACCAAAATCAAGCTCATCACCTTTAAGTCCACCTCAACTCAAAGTGACCCTGCAGGACAGGGCAGAACTTCCCCATGGGGTTCCTGAGGCTGTCAATCTCCAGGGCGCTGGGGAGGCACCCAAAGGCAGCAATGTCTGGTGGTTCAAATACATTAGCAGCTCAATGGAGAAAGAAGGGCCATCTCCTCTCCAGCTTCATGAAGATCCTCTGGAGGGTCTGCTGTGAGTCCGTTCCAAGTCGAGAGCAATGAGTTTTTAAAAAATCTTTATAGAAGCAGATTGCCTTGTGGTTCTCCCATGAAGCAGACAGTAGGTTCAAACAGCTGACATGCAGGTTAGCAGCCCAATGTTTAACCTACTGCACCAGCTGGGCACATCCCTGACTCACTCAAACCCTTCCCTCCCGTGGAGCTGGAACTGACTCACAGCTGACCCTCCTCCACTGGGTTCCCGGGAACGAGATACTGTCCATCTTTCTCCTAGAGGAGCTGCTGATGGCTTCAAACTGCCTGGCTTTGGCTTGGCTGCACAACTCTTACCCACTTGGCCACCAGAACTCCAAACATGGAAGTTTCCCTTTTAATTTGCTAGGTGATCCGCCAAGACTGGCATGGTTAACAGAGACCGCTCAGTGGTGCCCTCGGCAGGATGGACCCATGCTCTTACCTGCTCTACCTTTTACCTGCCTCTGGGTTGGGATTCCTGCTCTGCCCAGCTCATATTCTCACCCTTCCCAAGAAGTTGCTTTGGGCCAAGTTATTGAGAGCAGCACTTTCTGGAGATATTTTTTTCTTATAACATTCCATTGTATGGCTATTCCACATCTCTCCATCTCTGTTGGTGAACACTAGGTCTGGCTTTTCCTGTGTGGACTGTGAAGTGCACTGAACACTGTGTCCCAGCTTTCAAATTTTCAGGGGAGTATTACCCAGTACAACAGATCTGTCTCGGAAGAAGTAAAGCCCGAGAGTGCCTGAGAAGTGAAGGTGGTGAGGTAGGTCATCAGGAGGGGCAGGCTCTGGAGAAAAGCACCATGTTTGGACAAGCAGAGGATCATGAAAAAAAGGAAAAGGTCCTCCAGGAGATGGGCAGGCACAAGGGCCACAACAGGGGCTTAAGCACAGCAGACTCTGTGAGGATGGCACATAACAGAGTGGCGCTGAGGGTCACAGGGGGTCACTCAGAGTAGCCGCTGGTGTAACCTGAGAGTGTAACAGCTGAGTCATATGGTCAACCTGAAGAAACCCCTGTAGCGCCGCGGCAAAGCGCTCAGCTGCAAACCAAGAGATCGGCAGTTCAAACCCACCAAAGAAAGCTGAGGTTGTCTGCTTCTGTAAAGATTCACAGCCTTGGAAACTCTCTAGGGCAGGTCTGCTCTGCCCTGCAGGGTCCCTGTGAGTCCTCATCAACTTGATAAGCAGTGGCTTTGGGTTTATGTTCGTTCTAGGCTAGCCACTAGACTGTTCACCACAGTGGCTGCACCATTAAGGGCCATCAACAATGTAGGAGCGTTCAGCATTTCCACATCCTTACCAACGCCTGGTTTTTTGGTTTTGGGTTTTTTTCTTTTCCTTGGTAACAGTGGTCTTAACTAATTAATGCGGTCAGAGTTGATGCCTGGCAACCTCACACTTATATCAGAACTGCGCTCCACAGGGTTTTCAGTGGTTGATTTTATCCAAAGACCGCCAGATCCTTCTTCTGAGTCACTTCTCAGTTAACAGTTGAGCCTGTCAACTATATATACCACTTATACTCCACATAGCCACCCTAGTGGGTTTGAAGTGGGGTCCTCTTGTAGTTTGGATCCCATACCTTCCATGACTAATGAGACTATTTGGGGTTTTTCTGCACTCCCTTTTAAAAATTATCTGCCTAGAGAAGTCAAAGCACAAGGAAGAATCCAAGACACTAAAGAGCTGAACAGAAGATTCCAAAAGGCAGCACGGAATGACCAAGCAAAATATTACAATGAAATGT